ACTAGACAAACACAACACACCTACTAGACAAACACAACACACCTACTAGACAAAAACACAACACACCAACTAGACAAACACAACACGTCACTCACCCAACAAACGCAGACAACACCAACTAGACAAACACATAACCCAACAGTCACCATCACAATGCAAAAGAGTCGTTTGAAGTTCATGGGCTGTATTGATTGATACGAAGCTCAGAGGGCCCACTCCTCACCTCGTCAAGAAAGAAGAAGAAACTCACTTCACCACACCACCACGCACCATCTACTTGGGCGCCGTAGTGCGCTCAGCATTAGATCGCTGACCATACGCCTTAGTAGCGTAATCACCCTTGTGCACGATAAGATCCTCAGGCCTGTAGTCCTCACGACCAGACCAGTACGAGTCGAGAATGGCCTTTGTGCCCGCGGCGTAGCGCTCCTGGGCGTCGATCGAGGTGCCGGACATGTGGGGCACCATTGCGTTGCCGCCGCCCCACGGGTTCTGTGCGTACCGCAGGGGGTGGTCCTTGGGCGCGGGCTGCGGGAACCACACGTCTCCGCCGTAGCCGCGGAGGTGACCGCTCTTGAGGGCGTCGGCGACGTCTTCCTTGACGACGATGGCGCCGCGTGCGGTGTTGATGAGCCAGGAGCCCTTCTTCATCTTGGCGATGAGGTCCTTGTTGAAGAGCCCACGGGTCTTCTCGTGCAGGGGGCAGTTGATGGTGACGACGTCGCACTGCGCGAGCATCTCCTCGAGCGTGTCGACGCGGCGGCAGCCAATCTCCTTCTCGATCTCGGGGCGCAGAGGCTGGTAGTCAAAGTAGAGGAGCTCCTTGCAGTCAAAGGGCTTGAGACGGCGGAGCACACGCTCACCGATACGGCCGACGGCGACTGTACCGACAACCTTGTTCTCCAGGTCGTACTCGTTCTTGGCGACCTCGGCAACGTTCCAGTCACCACGGGCAATCTGCTCGTGGGCGGGGACGAAGTTGCGGACGAGGGTAAGGATGGTCATGACCACGTGCTCAGCGACGGAGACGACGTTGGAACCAGTGACCTCGGCGACGGTGATACCACCGTTGGTCTTGTTGGCCGCATCGAGGTCGACGTGGTCGGACCCGATACCAGCAGTGACGGCGAGCTTGAGGTTCTTGGCCTTAGCAAGGCGCTCTGCTGTGAGGTAACCGGGGTGGAAGCTGTCGATAGTTGTCAGCCTTGTCACTCCTTTCCCATCTTGTCGCACGCTAAAGTGACGGGCGCACGCATGAAAGCGGGGCGGTCTAGCAGCGAATGCGGGGGAGCTCGGACGTACGGTGTGGTGATGATGACTTCGGCGTCAACGAGGTGCTTGTCGAACTCAGAGTTCTCGCCCTCCTTGTTGGACGTGGTGACGAGCTCGTGGCCCTGCTCCTCGATCCACTTCCTCAGACCCAGCTCGTTCTCGGTCGTACCGAGAAGACGGGGCTCCTGCTCAGCGTGGACACCACCCTGTGACGTTGTTAGCCGTCGTTACCGACCCATTGAACGGGCTCCGACTTACATCGTAGAGAACGAGAAGAACCTTGCCCTGTTGTGTAGCGGTCGCGGTTAGCGATCTGAACTGATTCGGTTGTCGAAGGGACGCGACGCCCGGCGTCAATCTTGGTCCAGCACGAGCTGTGAGGAGGGAGGACGCGGGGCGCGCAAGGCGGGAGGCTGAGCGGAGAAATACCATTGTGAATGATCTGAAGCAACTACAATTGAGGCTCCGTAGGGAGATTTATAGGCACCTTCGGGAAAAAGGTACTTCGGAACGTGTATCTGACGAAAGATCTGTCAGCGGATCCGAGTCCAAAGAGGGGTTTTCAGGAACTCAATACCGAAAGTAGTTCGAAATGACGTCGAACTCTTTGGGTGCTTAAAGTGTTTGATGCTTATTGCAATTGAGGGGTTGTGAGGGGTTTAAATATACATGAGGGTACCCACCGTGCTGCTTGCAGCACAAGAAGTCTGGAAACCTTGGGTCACTCGGAGCTCACCACGGCCAGCCCATCACAGCGCCCTCCCCACTTTGTGATGCAGAATTGCCTCGCGAAAAGTGGTCCCTCCACCTGCGGACATCACTGTCACCTTTGGAATTGCTTCGCAGCGCATTCGGTGCGGGGTCGCAACGAATAGCGCCAACGCGTCGGAGGGTACGCGCCAGGGGAGCTCAGCTATAGCTTACCCGTTTGATCCATACAAATGCTCCACTGATACGTCAATGCCCTAGCTCCTAGGCTGTGGGTTACGAGGGTTAGACGCCACAAGACCAATTGGAACGCTTGTTGGTACGGGCGGTACGTAAACGGGTCGAGCTACAACCTGGGGCTCTGGACTGTCTGTCGGCAGAGCTCACGCTCCCAAGGCTTTCCAACGATGCCAGATGTATGGCGAACACAGGTTCGAAGCTCATGATGAAGCTCCGTATGGCTCTGAGATGCTTGTTAAAGCTCAATTGCGTGGACAGGATTGTGTGGAAGCTTCTCGCTGCTCGCTGCAGAGCTCCAGCGGCTGCGGAAGAGCACATCGATCTGGGGACGCATGCTGACGGCCTAACAGCCACGACACCCTCACCAAGGTGCTCAGCGGCTCTATCGCATCTACACAGGGAAGGTGGGGTTAGTGGCCGAGCATTCCAGACGCCCGAGCGTGCTGGAAGAGTGCTCGCGGCGGGGTGAACAGACGGAGGTGCTGCGGACGCGAGATGTCACCGCGAAGTTCGCACAAAGATCGCAGATTTGGCGGGCAATAGCTCGGCGATGGGCTGATAAGATAGGAGATGGCTTGGAGAAGCTCGCTGCGAACGCGGCCGAGCGCCACCGAGAGGCCCGAACCGGTTGCGGGCGTGTCGCGTGTTCCAGAATCCAGATCACCAAGTCCACGGTTATTGATGATGTCGCATCAATTCGCTCCTTATGGGCGAGGATCCCGGCGACGGCAGTTGCAACTCATGTCAGACAGTCGATGCCGTCGTCCTTCAGCCCGAGGAGACCTTCAAGGTCACAGAGGATCCCGTCAAGTTCTCAAGCTGGCAAGTGGCTCCTTCTCAACCTTGAACCAGCTGCTAAGACAGCCTTCGGCCTCTGTTCAACCCTCTTCGCAGCTCGTCTGTCTTATCTTTCTTGCCATTGCGCAGCCAGCTTGCGTGCAATTGCACCCTTGCTGTCTGTTCATCCTAGCTCTCATTGCGTAACCAGCATCAGCAATGGGCAAGATCTTGCCTTGCCTGCGCGGGACCTGCGACGCAATCGAGAGATCGAGTCCACGCGCCGCGCCGCGCGCTGCAGTCGCCCCGAGATCGAGCCAACAGCATGCCAGTGGACGAATGACGATTAGCGTGAGCCTACGGAGACAACGCGCCGGCCTCGGTGCTCAGGCAGTTGACTGAGCGCGCTCAACCAGCTATGGGCCGTAAAATGGCGAGATCAACGATATTTGAAGTAGTCCTTGTGTGTTGGCCTGCGCACGCAGTGTGCGCATTTGCCTTTGAGCCCTCAGAGCTGTGGGCATGGTTGCAAGTAAGTCCCGACGTTGCAAACGTTGGAATGACGCGTTGAAAAGCTCGAAATCATGTCGCGGACGGCTTCTAGGCCGACAATTCCATGCAGAGGAGCTGCAGGTAATTCCTTGAAGATTTGGTGGTGTATTGAGCTGGTGTTGGACGGCGCGTTCGCAGAACGCGGCAAGAGCTGCGTGCGCGGCCACCGTAACAGTTTCTGCTTAGCAGAACACGACAAACTTAAGCGACTGTAAAGATGCTACTTCAGCTGCACGCAATGGGACGATCAGGTAATGTGGTGAGGCACCTTTGTACCAATGGCGGGTGAAGGTGAAGCAGAAGAAATAGCTGCCTGTCACCTTATATCTTCAGCTCACTCTCACTCGCCTAGTCTCCACCACAATAAAACACAGATCTCGAGAACGATCAACTCTACGCGATTCGCCGCTCAACGCCGTCAGCTCTCGCCGAGTGCCGTATGCCAGACACACAGAAACGAACAAACGATGGTACGTCTATAGTTGGAGATTGGCATTTGCAGCTTGAAGTTTGAAGTGGGATACGTCCGCTCACTACCTCCAGGAGCCATTAAGATGGCCACCCAGTCTGCGTCCACTGAAGTCCTCTCGAAACATTGTGACGTAATTCTCCGCGTGGGCACACCCCAGACCGAGCGCAAGCTTTTCGTTTCGTCCGCGCTGCTCAGCCATAGCTCCCCCGTCTTTGCCGCCATGTTCGACGGCCGCTTTGGTGAGGGTCAAGATTTGAGTGCAGATTCACCACGCGCCGTCCCGCTTCCAGAAGATGATGCGGATGCTGTGACCACCGTGTGCAAGATCATTCATGTGCAGGTGGCCGGTCTTGCTGTGACTGCGTCTCCTACTCAGTTGGTGAGTATCGCCATGGTTGCACATAAATACGACTGTGTGGAGGCAGTCAGACCATGGAGCATCATCTGGGTCGCGGACATCCTGCAGAAGCCGGGTGTTCCAGATTTTGAGAAGACACTTCTTGCCACATGCCTGCTTGATATGGCGCCAGAGTTTCAAGGTGTCTCCAAGAGTCTCATTCGAGATCGCTCTGAAGTCAGTATCTCCGCCATATCTAATGGCGAAGTCTTCCTTTCAATTCCGATTCTCGAGCGCGTTCTCAAAGCACAGATCCAGACTCAATACAACGCGCTGGCGACCTTCGATGCTATAATCCCACTATTTGGTTGTAAGGCTCGCACAGAAGATATGGCATTCTTCTTCAAAGCACTCTTGTGACTGTGAAGATACTGGTACACGACCACGTGCCCAGACTGTGATTGCATCAGTCGTCGAGATATACAACGCAGTACAAGGGCTGTGCTTGGATTGCGTCAAGCACATCGAGCTCGCCGTTGATCAAGAATGTTGCGTGAAGTGCGATCAAGCTCTGAGGACTTCCTGAACTAGCGACAAGCACCTGTTCAGAGGTGGCCAATCACGCATGCGCAAGGTGGGCTCTTGATAACAGAGGAAATGTGAAGATCGAGGGATAAGAGGCTCAATGGGTGGCAGGGGGCTCGATATAGGCGGCGAACAGTCTGCAAGACCTTCTGCCAGTGTCAGGATACTTCGACCATGGATTCCACTTGATTGTGAATCGTAAGTATCCGGGGCAACAGTCTAGTACGGCACGTTCAACAGCCATGGTGGGAACACAATATTATAATCTTCCACTTTGCTCCGTAGTCTCTGCGTAGGACAGATACTTATACTCGAGTTCAGAGCTTATCTGAGGATGAGGATCGAGACCCGAGATCATCTACTCTTCTCTGCAGTCTTACAGAAAGCTGGTCTCATGGAGTCATGGTAAGAGGCTGTCAAAGAAACAGGCATCATCCCGAATCTTTGAATCTCTTGATACCCGACTACTAAGGGTGAGAATTGAGTCCAGCGTTCAAGCAAGCATGTCTTAGTTGTCAATGCGTTTTGTAGAAAGGACACGACATACTTGACTGCAGCAGCGAAAGTAGCACGTACATACTCTCCAACCAGGAGATCACTGCGAGAACGGCAGCCGAGAACTATGCTCAATTATTTGAGCAAAGGTCCAGAAAGGAGGACATTAGAGCCAGGGGCCTTGCTTCTGGGCATGGTTTCCGTGGTGCACTTTTTCGATAAACGAAGTCGCATACAGAGTAGTCAAGGTTCCTCGCGGGCGCAAGGAAATCACCTCATAAAATAGAGAATTAGGCCCATCCCATGTAGCGTGACAGATTGGGGTTTCAGCCGACAAGCATATGATCAACGACAGTTTTATTTCGGTCCGAGAGAACGGAAGAGAATGATGTGTTGTATACTGCACAGAGACTGAACCCCATTATTGCAGCGCGAGGTTGGGTGTATGTCCTTCGGCGCGATTGATGGCTTTTAGCTCTACGAGGTCATATCCTGCTCATACCTGCTCTCAAGTACATTCAGAACATGCGCACACAATCCCAAGGATCGTTGCGATGTCAATCTACATTTGCCCAGCATCAACACACCGCGAGGTGACATTTGAGAATTTCCTCGTAACGAAGGGCTACATCGAGCAGTTGATCTTCCAGAGAAACACAGGATGTTGCTGTCATCTTTCCACTTCTCAATAGATCCTTTGGAAGGTGACTTGCGCGCATATCCTCGCAACACAGTGCTTCAAAAACCAGCGAATCTTCCAGAGAAACATGTGAGCAACTCATTGATGATTCACTCCCTCATAGATCTCGAAGTCAGATATTTGAGACATGGGTTGCATTTCGTTGCACTTCCGCGGGAGGACAAAGCCATACACTCTGTATTGGCCCCTTTTCGCAGCACGGACATGCCGAGAGACTCGTAAGTTTTTGGAAAGAGCAGACTGGATGCGGGAGATAGAGGAGGAGCGGAGTATCTGTAGTGTATTGTGTTTATAAACTCGTTCCCAGCACGAACACATTCGGAGCGGGGAGGTGCATTCAGACGCGTAAGTAAGGCTTCATCGTACAGGCAAGAGCAGATCCCATGCATCGACGCGTTGTTGACTTTAGTCAGACAGACGAAGCATCGGCGACGATCGTCAGATTTGCGATCATTGCTCTTCGACTTCATCTTTTCAGGGGATTCCCAACGTTTCGTATCACGAGACAGGACTGGGAGAAGCCAGATAGCACATCTTCCTCGTGAAAAGCATATCCACTCGTTTAGACTTCGACTATCTTATCGCAGACAGGATGCAACTGCTTTACCAACGTCTCTGTAACCGAATAAGATGTATAGAGTTCCACAGAATAGATCCAAAATCGTGAAATGTGATTCATCCAGTAGTAACTACTGTGTATTCGACGTTGTGTCGGCGACGTTCCGAGGAGCTACGAACATTGTGGCTTCATTGTTGTTGAGCCATCGATCTAGATTGCGTAGGACAGCATCATCGGCCATGTGTCTTGCTCACTGCATATCAGAGTCTTAGTTGTGGTTGTCATTGTGCAAGGCGGTTCGTGATCGCGTTGCTAATGACGAAGTCGAGAACGACGACGACGCGGGTAGCAAAACCCTTCAAGTTGCCTTGTGCTCAACTGCGGCATCAAAGTAACACCTGAGTCATCAGGCACTGCGTGCCTGTGACACTCTGTGGCGCCTGGGGTCACTGCCCAATTCGCTTGTCCCTCAAGCTTCAACGCCTTTTACTAACGCCGTGAGAAAGACATTGGGCTTGCCGAAACACACTCCCTCCCTCCTCATTCCTTGGCTCTACACGACACCCTCCATACCCATTGGCACCTGAAACCCACTCAATCCCTCCCCCGCACTCGTCAGCCTCGCACAGAGCTGGAGAAAAACCACCGTCTCAGTAGCGGCGAGATAATTCAGCGTATCGAGCAGAATCTTCAGATGGCGAGTGAAGCTATCCTCGTACTTTGTGAGCATATCGAACATCTTCTCCAGGCGCTGCGGGTCGAAGACGGCGTGGCGGTGCTGGCTGGACGAGGCGGGGGTTTGCGCGTCGATGGACGCGTTGACCGAGGCGACGAGGGCGGGGTCGCAGGTGATTAGGTAGCGGGACAGAGAGTAGGTGAAGGTGGCGAACATATTGCATGTGGACATTATTTTGTTGTTGATCTGCGGTTGTTTAGTCAAGGCTGTGTGGCAACGTGGCGTCTCGATTGATGGCGGGATGGGAATGGGGGAACGTACCTTCAGAAGCTTGCTGTTGGTGAGCATACACTCCTTCAGACAAGTCGCCAGAAAATCAACGTGGTCTTGCATCAGCTCGTCGACAGTCCTCTTGACCTTTTCACCCGCCATCTCCTCGGGCGCCTTCCCCTCGTCTTTGAGCCGCGACATGAGGCTGACCCAGTTCGGCTCAATGACCTCCGCGGTGCAGTAGTACGTGAGCTGCTGCACGAACACCATCATGCGCGCGCGTAGCGTCCAGGCTCTGCGTTTCCACTGCTCGACGCGCGGGTTCTTGGATCGGTGCTTCCACATCGAGTTCTTGCCTTGCTCGCCCCAGCACTTGCCAAGATCGGTCTCGAGGTGCTTGAGGCTGAGGAGGAAGCGGAAGAGGAGCTGATAGCGGGTGAGTGTGACGCGGCTGACGACGAGTGAGAGCGGGAAGGGCATGCTGTAGTCGAAGACGAGCGCTTGGTAGCCGGTGATGTCTTTGTCGTTTGTGATGTTGTCGGTGTTGGCGGGGGTGTAGTTTGATATGGACGTTGCGGCCTCTTGGTCGAGACCTTGGACGTTGACGATTTTCATCAGCCAATTTGTGAGGCCCACATCGTTGATCTGGACCTTGATGTCTTCTTTGTAGGGGTCCTCGACGGCTACCGAGCCCGCGTGGCGGGTTGCCAGATCGAGGAGCGATTGCAGCTTGCCAACGTTGACGTGTTTCGCTGGCTTCTTAAGCTCCAGCTCGCCCATCTCGAGGAAGTAGGTAAAGAAGTCGGATCGGTCGAGGAAGAAGTAGTGCTTGAGCGAGCGTAGCCGTGCCGGTAGCTGATGTGTGGTGAGGAGAAGGTTGAGCAGTGAAGAGTTGGCTGAGGCATATGCAGAGTTAACATTGTCCAGGAATCGAGGGTCGTCGAAGCTCGTCGGCGCATCTTCCACCACTTTGCTGACATCGACGCCGCCGCACTCGCGCACAACGTTGAGGTACTTGCCCGCTAAGAGCACCTTGTCTTTAACTGCTTCCAGCTGCGGTGGTACTAATGCGTCCCGAACGGTGTAGCGCTTCTCCCAGTATTCGTCTGTGTAGTCCTGATCTAGACGCTCGCGCTTGATACTCCGCTGCTCCTTGACGAGAAACTCTGCATGTGGATCTTTGATGCCGCCGTGATGCAGCCACTCGTTCAGCATAGCCATGTACGGTCTACTCGCCTCTCGCAGCAGTGTCGTGAGCAGCGTTCGAGCCGCAGGATCGCCAGACATGGACGACAGCCGCTTGGTGATCAGGCCGAGCACGCTGCCGCCCTTGCACATCTTCTTGACCGTGGCGCCGCCTTCACGCAACGACTCCAGGATGTTCTCAAAGTCGTTGGTGTCGTCGTCCGTCTCCTCGTCTTTGTGGTCCTCCAGGATCCCGTTCGCCTTGAGCAGCTCGATGCCGGTCGTGTACAGCTGAAACAGCATGTGGCTCGTCTGCTTCATGTGCAGATTCAGGATGTGCAGCGTGAACGAGTCATTCGTCAGCGACTGGTGCTCCAGCTGCGCGATCAGTGTCAGGTAGTCCTTCAGCAGCCGCCGGATGGCAGCACACAGCGCGTGGTTGACGGCGCCATACTGATCTCTGCTGAGCACCTCGACGCACGTCTCGACCGCAATGTAGTGTGTCGCCGTCCGCAGCATGGCCTTGGCGAGGTCCTTCAGACTGGGGTCCAGGCCTGGCAGGAGCTTGAACGGCGGGCCCAGCAGCCGCTCCTTCTCCTCGTGCGGGTTGTATGCATCGGCGAAGCGGATGTACTGCCCCTCGAAGCCCATGAAGACAAACAGCAGGTCCTCGATGACCGCCTTCTCCTGCGCGTCCAGTGAGAGCTGCGCAAGCGGGACGGGCTGCAGCGTCGCCGGCGCCGTCGACGCAAGCGGAGGAATCGAGATGCGCGTCGCCAGCGGGGCGGTCGTGTGCGGCAACAAGCTGGCGTGGGGATCCCACAACGGCAGCGGCTGCTCCGAGGGCTGTCTCGACGACGCGGCGCCCCGCCTCTCGACGTCCTGCGACGGCTTCTCAGCGCGGCTGCGGGCGTTGGCGCGGCTCTCAGTGGAGTGCTTCAGAGGGCTGCGCCGCCGGACTTCAGTCTCGCGCTCACGCACCTCGCGCTTCTCGGTGCGCCGCTCCCTCAGCTCGGCCGCGCTGCCCATGGCGCTCGAGCGAGTGCCGCGGTGCGTCGTCCTGGCCGATTCGCGCCTCTCGTCGCCCTCGCCGGCCCCGCGGGGTCGCGCCGTGGATGTGTAGTTCGCATTGCCTGCGCGGCGGTCGGCCGTCGAGGCGGACGGCTTCATGTTCGCGAGGTTTCGGGACGACATGGCCGGGGGAGGCGCTCCATGGAGGTGGCCCGCGGTGTCTGCGCGCACTGGCTGTCTTTGTTTGCTGTTGCGGCCGCTTTGGGTAAACTGCAGCTACATGAACAACGCGTCGAAGGCTCGCTAAGTGGGGCCTATGATGCAGGAACGCCCAACGATGGGGTGAAAGCTGATTGGGCGTCAGAAGTTGAGACAAATGTTGCGTGCGTGTGATAGTGTATTGAATATACATTGAGCTCATTATTACTACAGAACTGCTAGACAGCTCATCATTGATCATATCTCGTTGCAGATTCAACATGCAGTGCGTGTACAAAACGTCATCGCACCTGCTCACACACCCCCCATCATGGCAGACTCAAGCCGCCACCTGAGAGCACATTAGCAGCTAACCTCCGGCAACCATTTCGGTCCTGTGCACAGCATCTACCTTCTCTTCATACGACTCGAACGCGTTAGTGCCATCGAGCGCATTCTCGCCAAACACATCGACCTCGGTGCTCGCAAACTTGCGCGCAGAGACACGCTGCTCGAACAGCAGGTCCAGCTCCGCGAAACTGCGGCCCCTGGGCTCCGGCAGCCGGAAGAAGGTGTACACGATGCTGAGGAAGCAGGACCCGGCCCAGAAGAAACCGGCATAGTTGCCCCAGTTCCACTCTCCGGGGTTCAGCATGTACGGCGTCAGTACGGACGTGATTATGCCGATGACGTTGTACAGGTTGCGGCCGAGAACGACAGTCTTGATCGCGAGGCGGCGAGTCGACAGCTCGGCGACGAGCGAGTAGCACACGGTGCCGACGGTGAGCTGGTAGAACATGGCCCACACAAGCATCATGACACCGGTGGCCATGGCGCCCTTCTCGCGGTCGGCCGCTGGTACGAGGCCGAGGAAGCCCATGACGAAGAGCATCGTGCAGAGACCGCAGAGACCGTAGAGGTAGAGAGATCGTCGTCCGACACCGCACTTCATCAAAAACCAGGCGCCAAAGACACCGGCCATGTTGATGCCGTACTGGCCCATTGCAAAGTCGTATGAAGTAGACGGATCGAGGCCGGCTTGCTGCAGAAAGTACGACGAGTAGCCGGAGAAGGCGTTACCAGACAAGTTCTGAATAGCCCAGGCCATGCAGACAATCTCCGTACGGCGCAAGTCAACGCCCTTGAAGCAGTCGAGGTAGGTGGCACCCTTGGTGATCTTCTCTTCCAAAGCAGTCGTGTGCACCATCATGGCCACAGTCTCGTCGGCATCGAAGTTAGTCTCGCGGTTCAAGCTGGTGAGACGGAGCATCGACTTCTTCGCGTCTTCAAGACGGCCCTTGCGAACGAGCCACCAGGGCGACTCCGGAGCCAGGAAGACACCGATTATGAGAGGCACAGGCCACATCCACTGCAGGGCGTAGGGGATGCGGTAAGACCATTCGTCTTCGCGGGTGACCATGGAGCGGATCACGCCAATGCCAATGAGCTGGCCGAGTCCCCAGCAGAAGTTGACGTATGTTGTCACTGCAGACGTTAGCGTTTGTTCGCGTTAGGCCTCGGGGGGTAGCTTACAGTAACCACGCAGCGCAACAGGGCAGACCTCACTTGCATAAGTGATCGTGAGTGTCTGGAACACACCCCATGGAATACCGCAGAGAATCTCGGCGACCAGGAGGTGCACCACCGTCTGGGCGGTGAAGAAGATGGCAGTGAAGCAGACGATCAGGAACAGACACCCGATGACAGTGTATCTGTACCCAATCGACTCACTGATCCAACCATTGAGAAACAGACCGATGATCTCGCCAACAATGACACCGTTGCTCAATGCAGCCTGCCACTTCGCAGGAATCTCCCAGGTACCGTTAGGCAGCTGCTCGCCATACTTCTGCTTGAACTGCGGGAAGCCAAAGAAGTTGTTCAGCAAGCAGACGTCGTAGCCTTCCATGACGATGCAGGTACTGATCAGCATCGACCACCCAATCGCCTTGGGGTAGAGCTTGATGCCCTGCCACAGCGTCATGTTGTGCTCCTTCTCCGTTGCGAGACGAGCATCGTTGATGACCTTGTCCGCAGCGCCCTTGTGGTGCTCATGGTCCTCGTAGAGCGGTTGTTGGTGGACAGCCGCGCTGGGCTGGATATCCTTTTCTTGCGCCATGCTGGGTGTGCGATTTGCCTCTCCAGACGATCAGAGGTCAACGGCGGCGGAAGTCGTACCGAGTGCGACGCGATGCCAAAGCGTCGGGAACGGGAGAGGTGGATCTTGGAGTTCCACCGAGGCAATGTCAGAGAGTTTGGAATCTGGGGAAGGTGTCACCTGGGCCTGGGTGGTCGTAAAGGTCGCGGCGCCCTTCAACTTAAACAGTTTTCAGGTGGAGAAGCGTTGCAATTCAGCGCTCGAGTCAAAAGGCCGCGTGCAAGTCGCGAAGCTAAATCTCCTGCGGCCGCTGATGGGCTTTGATTGGGTCAAAAGGTGGAGTAGGATCTAGAAGAAGTTAGTTGACAGCTGGTTGTCCAATGAGCATAGCCAAGGATAAGGCCGGAAAAGCTAGACTGGCCTGGTCCGCTTAAGTGCATGTGACTCCTGAGGCCCGGCAGATTGAAGAGATCTGTGTCCTGAGGTCGGTTTCTGGGGTAAACATCGTGATTGGGATTCGGCGTTTGATGATTCGCCCTAGAATGATGCGGAGCATGGTTAGTTGCATGTTTCTCCGCGTTTTGAGCGCATGGCGCCCGCTAGAAATCTGGGGGAAGGAGAAGCCGCTGGCGAGGATGCCCCAATGCGGCTCTCGGGGTCAAAACGCCCGCCGTTAGCGTGCGGGCAAACATCTCAACGTGGCATGCAGGGCAATTCTCGCCGATGGCGGCAGCGTTTTTGGTATATAGCAAAGGCCCGACCTCACGAAGCGTGGAATCTTCGTAGCTGAGGCGCTCAACAACCGTGTAAGGCAAACTACGAACATTCAGCTGACCAAAGGCCGGGCTCTGTGATATCGCGCTCTCGAATCGGCTCAATCGTCCACCTCTGAGTCGGGCGGCCTGTATTCGCTTGATTCATCGAGACTTTTGGCCTACCCTCGATCGTGTCGAGATACTGAGACTTCTCAGTCCACCCGTTCTGAGCATCATTGTCAGCAAGTGCAAAGCAGTTACCATCGGTGTCTTACCTCAAGATGCCACGTCCCATCCTGCGGGTGGTCCCACTGTCCAATGGTCCAGTACTGGGCCTTCGCAGAATCGTTCGCGGATTCCAATACCGGCGTCTTCTTGTCACTCTGCACACCAAGTCGACGATTAGGGCCCAGGAACAATGTTCGCAGGAAATAGGTTCCATCACCATTGGGCTTCAATTGCCAGTACTGACCGGAGAACTTCCCAGCAGCCGCCATCTCGAGGAGGCCTTTGCTGTTCGTGCCATCATCATTGACGACGTCAAGGCAATGCGTCGCTGGTTGGTATGTGTTCTTCAAGCGATACCACATCTTGGGGTCGAACCTGCCAGTTGGTGGCTGGTCGCCCTTCTTGACAGTGATGTCAAAGGTCATGGTCGGAGACGAGACAGGTATGTTCGTAACGGAAACATGTGTCGTCTCCTCCATAAGACTTACTGTTCGGATTCGGGAGAGTGCTGAGTTTATGGTTGTCGGTCAATCCAGGGTAGCTGTCCCTGTCATCACCTCTGCCGAAGTTTTGCTTTAGTTGGTCGAGACCGTCAGCTTGCATGAGCTTGACCCAAGGATGATTCCCATCAGAATTAGATCCCATTCGGTCATCAATGTGCCAGATGAGAAGACCTCTGCCTGGGAGGAATTCATCACTTCCGCTTGTTTGTCGATTTTCAACAAGGAAGTACTCAGGGCTGTTAGCGTCTCCATCTGTCCACAGACGATGGACTTTGAACCCGCTCTTCACGTCTCGAAGCGTGACTGAGCGGTCACTGTTCTCTACTATGATCTCAACCCAGCCTTGTTTGGACTTGCACCCTGCAAAGCCGTCTGAAGATTAGCACGCAGGTGGGTGATTAGGACCTACATGCAGAAGGGTGGACAGCTCGGTCGCCACCACCACCCCAGCTACCGCCGGCCATTAGACACCAGTTTCCGATGCCGGCAGAGGATGGGTCGACGTCGTACAGATCCGGCTAGCCTAAGACTATAAGCAGTCGGTGACAATGTTAGGATTGACGGACTGTTGCGCACCTAGATGTCCAATCTCATGTGCGCACACACCGCATTTGGCGTCTGCGGATACAGTCAGGAACCCATACACCTTGACATCTATCCGCCTCGTCAGTGACAGCAGAACCGTTAGCGGGTAGTGTGGCAACCATTCGCTTTACGCTCCTCCGGAAGGACCCATTTGACACTCCAGATATCACTTCCTAGTCCGGTCTCCTCTACGGCTCGCCCTGCGTGGATGGCAACGAAAGCATCGACCTAGATCGTTCCAGTTATTCACAGTATACAAGTCAGTCTGTTGATGCGCACATAGCCGTTACCATCGTTGTCATACTGGTTGAAGCTGATATTGTCCTTCACAGCGGCGAATGCCTCGTCTGCCATCGTTTGAGAGTTTGGTCCAGGCCACCCCATGCCGGATCCTACGCCAGGTCAGCCTACATTGTAACAATGGAGTCGGCTCTGCGACTCACCATTGTTGGCATAGTACGTCATGTTCTCCGTCGGGGTGAATGGTCCAAGGACGTCGCCAGTCAACGAAATAGCATTGTTGGACACCTCAGAGTAGTACTCCGTCACGGAGCCAGTGGCTATCTTCCCTTTGGAGAACCACAGATCCTAGTGGCGCTCGATGATTCCAGCTAGGCACTTCACGTCTTGGAACTCAATCACGACGACGAAGATTCTAATGGATTCAGCCCTGCAGCCCAGCGCACCACCCCAATGCACTTACCTGATGGCGTTCCGCAGTGGCTTACGTTCAAGTACTGCCGCAGCCACCTTTCCGATGGAGACCTCGGGGGCGAAACGCGATCTGGGGAAGATTGTGCCATCATTCAGACCTAGGAAACCGGACTGCGGAGGGAACGCGGTCTTGATGATTGCCTGCATGGCTACATTATCTCGCCTCTGTGACTGCAATACTTTTGTACGTGACAGAAGCGCCGGATGCGGAGATACAAAACATGGTTCTTCGTACTGACCGTTGCACTGGTGTGTTTACGTCGAAGCAGAAGCAAGGTGAAGTGGCAAATGGTTGAGAAAATTGAGGGTCAAGTAAGGCAGACGAAGGTCTCCGTGGAAGCCTTTTGTATCTCTGAGACTACAACATGGGACTATGCAGAGACGAGCATGTCACAGCTAAGCTACAGATACGGGGCCCACGATGAGCAAGAACGGAAGGAGGCTGGCCACACTGCCTGTAGTTCCAAAGCTCAAGCCATGCTGACAAGGTAACGAGTCGAAGTAATTGTTGGCGATAAAAACAACCGAGGAGCTGTACTCAGCCGCCTATAGCTAAGTCTGGTGGTGTTGCTGACACCACCGATGCAATGTTCAGTAGTAAATGTGACTATCGTTAGCCAATAGACGACGCGACTGAGACCGAGCAGTCGAGCATCAGGCATAGTAATGACAGGGACGATGTCCTTCTGGCTGCACCTGCAGAGACTACACAGATCACGCGCCCATCTCTCCTCAGGCAACAGTTATAAATGTTCTCGCAACCACGTCACCGCCGCAGCTGAATGTGCATTGGCAAGCCTCATCGCGTGCCAGTAGTTGAGGCTTGTGGAGACAAGTGCACTTTTGTCATTCCGTTGTCGACTGACGAATAGCACATAGCGATCAGTCGGAAAGCTGGATCAATTGCAGGTTTTTTTATATGTAGAAGCCCTCCCAGTCTTGCGAGCTGACGGTCGGGCGCACTGTCAGCGCATGCAGCGTTCAGCCACGCAATGAACGCGCGCAAGCTCGAGCTTAGATGCTAGCGCGTCCAGTACCTATCTGGCGGGGAACAAGAAGCGAGCTGAGCATCGTATAGAGTTATTGGCAAGACATCGAGGTGAGCAGAGGATGCTCGAAACAATCGCGAGTGGTGTTGCGGAGGTGTGACGCAGCCCGTGCCTGTTCGTTTCTTCCCGCTCCCGAAGCTAAGCTTTACTCAAACACCACACGAGACAAGACAAGCAAGACGAGCACGCGCGAAGCTCCTCGAGTGTCAAGGATATTGTCTTTGAACTATGCTCGCTGTTGACAATCGACGTCCACACTGGATCTACTGCCGCCGTGTCCGGCACTGCAAGCCCACAAGGCCACGGCTCCATTGCCTGCTCGGCGTCTTTCTAATAAGCCCACATCACACAGTGCAGTGCAGGACCATCACCTCCATCGTCTCTCGCAGTGTTTTGGTCTGGAAAGCTTGAGCAGATAGGCTGACGGAAAGTCTGTTTCTTGCCGCGACCGGCCTCGTGTTTCAGAATCATGTTCGCAAACCCAGAGTGCTACATATACCCGGATCGCACTCTACCCAGATGTCGCCGCGGACAAGAACGATTTGCCCAAGGCTATATAACATGAATGGTCACCTGCAGGTTTTTGATATCTAAGCTAACCTAATTCCACCTGTGCTGGTCACTCGCTACTTCTGTTGTCTTCTTTTTTACCTAGACTCTTTCGTTTTAAGATATCCTCTTCTTTGTCCACACACATAGTCCTAATCTCCGAAAATGTATTCCACGACAGTTCTCAGCATTGGCCTCTTCACCGCTACCGTCCTTGCTCACGGCAACATCACAAGCCCTCCAGCTCGTCTTCCCGGCCCAGCCATGGCGCAAGTCTGTGGTCAAGCCGCTGTCGCAGCCATCAACGCCGACGGCACCGGTCCTCTTGAAAACATCCCCAGCAACGGCTCGCCACGATGCAACATCGGTCTGTGCAAGGGCGCTCAGTTCGCCGACAACCAGAAGAACGTCCAGCGGTATGCGCCAGGGGAGCGCGTCAACTTCTCTGCTGTCCTGCCAATTCCTCATGAAGGCCCATGCAACATCTCTGTTATCGACACCAAAACCAACACTATTGTTTCCACTATGCTAGTGTTCGACTCTTACGCGGACGAGAACTTGGCGCAGCTGCCGCTGAACAACACACAGTTTAGTGTTGCGATGCCGTCGAACCTTCCCGCCGGACAATGCACACAGCCTGGACAGTGCACGATGCAGTGGTTCTGGTTCGGCACCAACGCACAGCAGACGTACGAGAATTGCGTCGATTTCGTCATGACGGCGTGAGCGAAGGTCGCTGTCGCGAGGTGATTTCGGAGTGAGGCGGTGGTGGCATGTGCTGATCATGTAGAGCCGGGACGCGTCCTCTTGTCGTCCAAAATTTGCTTCGAAGGTTACCTGGTTGTAGTATCTAGAGTTCAGCAAACAATTTGCACATGATACCCATAGTAGTTGGTCCGCTTCCTATGAATTAATGTCATTATAATCCCCATCGATTCGTGCCCGCCTGTGCAACCTTGTTGAGCTCTCGTAACGTGCAACATCCACCGAAAGTAGTGTACAGTGCAACATACTTGATCAAAAAAGCACACTGGGTAAGGGCGCTACGAGCATAGCGATGCTCTGACCCACCCCTGAGATGAAACCTTGCGGCGACTGCTCGAGTTCACTTCAGGTCGTAGGCTCTGGAAAAGAGCGCCGAAGAGCGAACGACGATTGCAAGTGTTACGGGCAAGAACACACATTGTCCTGTGGGAAAGACGTGTTCTCCATTCTGGTAGTGGAGGCCATCGAGCATGTCAAGCATGCAGATGTATCGACCAGTCTTACCTCGGCCTCCTTTCACGTTGCCGCGCCGCGCATGTTCTCATCATTTGCGAAGACAGTTGCTCGACCAAGCAATCGTCCGTCAGCTGTACAGTGAGGGAAGCAAATTTGAAGTTGCGTGGTGGAGTGTTCGTCCGCATCGTTGGACTCGAGATCAAAGGTCTCGGTCGCACGACCTGGTGAAAGTGCTTCCGGGACAACGAGTCGAACTACAAAGCGAGTGTCGAGCACTTCGGTCGAGAAGAGCCTTACCGCTAAGCACCGACGGCGCCAAGAACCGCCTCCCGTTGACTGTTGCTTGTTTCTCGAATTTCCGATGCTCATCTCTCTTGAGCGGAAGTGCTGGCCCGTAAGTATCGGAAGGGTTTGAGGCTACACGACTGGTGGAGTGCAATTTGCCGGCAATTGTGGTGTACTTTCATTTCCGTTGATCGAGCCGCACCCATGGGGGCCTACCGGTTTCAGGCGAGACGCATTGAGTCGGGTTGGCTTCTAGACAGATACAGAAAGGCGGACCTTGTTCACGTTTACCCAACATAGTCAAATAGAAGGGATGGAAAGGACACTCGGCAGCAGTCGTTCTTAGAGAACAGTCTCCCACGCGTGAATCATCAGGATGTCCAATGTGCTGGATGCTCTCAAGCATGATGTCTGCGCCAGACAGCCGCTGCAGAGCTGGCGTCTCCGCAGATCCGATAATATTGCCTCCGAAGACCCGATAATATTGCCTCCGAAGACCCGATAATATCACAACCGCGCTGTCTTCGACCCACTGTCTGGGGACCGGTGAAACAAGCCAGGTGTGAGACTTCTACCTAAGCGAGGGACGGCAAGCGCTGCCGCTAGAGAGACGTCAGCGATGCAGGCCGTTTGAAGCAGATAGATGAAGGCGCAACCAGCATTTCATGCATTTATCTCTATGCGTTCAATAAATATGGATCGGTCTTGATTCAGAGAAATTAGGTACGTGATGCGCGTAGACTCCCACCGAATGCTAGCCTCTGTTAGTACACGCTAGCGTCTTTTCCACGACTTCTCCACATCATCTGGTCTGTTTCTACGTTTGTCCTCGTTGCCTCATCAAATTGCAGTGCTCTGAGCTTGTACACAACAACACTATAGGGAACATACAATGCTCGTAGAGAAGCATGCGGGAGCGTTTGACACGCCTCTCCCGCGTGGCTAATCATCCTGTCCGTGTAACGCAATGCACAATCCTCTCATCGAAGGTAGGCGTTTCGATTGGGCAAGTTGCCTGCGTCGATCATGAACACTCGATCGAGTCTGCTGTGCTTTGCCGCCCATCCCATGCACAGGAACATGAAACGATAATCGGAAGCGACCTTCTCCCACACGCTTATTGCAATCAAGCTTTTGGTGCCGGCCTTCATGCCTGTTCCGTAGCAGTACCTGGTCAATTTGACAACTGTACAGGACCAGCGTTTACCCACAATGTTTTATGGAAGTCGTCTGGTCGATATAAAGATGACTTCGTCCCTCAAGCATTACTTCCTCACCACACTCATTCAGTCAATTCGACAGTTCATTCTTTTCACATTCATCCACCCTTCATCGACTGAAGCGGATACCATTCTTTTACACCTTCGTTGATCTCGAAGCTTATCTTGAACGCCATTCTTTCCAATAACCCGATTTTCAACCACCAGATCATCAACCATGCCTTCCAAGATCCAGATCGCTGCCATCCTCGGTGCTGTTGCTGCCTCCGTCAGCGCTCACGGTCACCTTTCGGACATCAAGGTCGACGGCACTGACTACACTGCCTATGACCCCTCGTTCCAGTACCAGAACCCCGCCCCCGAGGTCATCGAGTGGTCCTGCCCCGAGTGTCTCGACAACGGCTTCGTCGACCCCACCATGTACACCGATGTGACCAAGATTGCTTGCCACAAGGACGCCACCGCTGGTGCAAAGGTCGCCAAGGTCGCTGCTGGAGGCACCGTTAACATCCAGTGGAACACCTGGCCCGACTCCCACGTCGGCCCTGTCATTGACTACATGGCCAAGGTCGACGATGCTACCTCTGCTAAGGCTGCCGACTTGAAGTTCTTCAAGATCGATGCTGCCGGTTACGAGGGTGGCCAGTGGGCTGCTACCAAGCTTATCAAGAACAACCTGACCTGGTCCGTCACTGTCCCCAGCTCTATCGCTGCCGGTCAGTACGTTCTCCGTCATGAGATCATCGCTCTTCACTCGGCTGGCCAGGACAATGGTGCCCAGAACTACCCCAAGTGTAAGTTGGACCCTGTCTAACCCCTAGAACCCAAAACTGACATCCGAATCTAGGCATCAACCTAGAGGTCACTGGCTCCGGCACCGAAAACCCCGAGGGTATTACCGCCGACAAGTTCTACACCCCTACCGACCCCGGCATCAAGGTCAACATCTACTCTGGCGACATGTCCGGCTACGAGATTCCCGGTCCCGCTCTTTTCAGCGGTGCCAGCTCCGGCTCCAGCTCCGGCTCCAGCTCCGGCTCGAGCTCATCTGTAGCTCCTGCCAGCTCCACCTCGGCTACCCCTACTGCCACTCCCTCCGTTGCCGCCCAGAACAACGCTGCCTCTACTCCTGTTGCTTCTGCCACCCCTACTGCTGCCGAACCTGCTTACGCCTCTGCTGCTCCTTCGTCTACTGGCAGCCCTGATGCTCTCCCCAAGACCTTCACCATTGAGACGTTCGTCTCCTGGCTGGAGAAGAACGCTGGCTCCACCAGCTCTAAGGCCCGCCGCCACTCCCGCGCTTTCCGCGGTTAAATTAGCAGCATGTTGAAAAACATGCTCTAAGTGGCTACTTGTACACATCACGTGGATTGATGATTAAAGAAGAAAACGGTCTTCAATTCTTGTACCTACCCTTTATATAGTCGAAACGGCCTGTGCTCTTCGCCTCTTAACTTCGTTGTACACTCAAATACAGCGTGAATGTTTCTATCCTCCATGAGTGAATTGTTGTCACACGACTGGTGTTCGACACAGTCATTCTCAGTACTAGACTAACAACGTTTCCACCCTGCCGTACATTACCGCTGCATTCCCCAGCCTTGTCTTATCCCACTCAAGATAATGCCACCCATGTCTCAGTAAGCAGCTTCACGACTCCCGGGTCACAGTCTTAGACTTCTCGGTGCTGTCATTCCGCGTGGTTTCTGCAACCTCATAGTGGCCCTCCACTCCATCGAAAGTGTACAACGGCGTGAGTGTCGCGGACTTATCAAACATAACCCAGCGCTTCCACCACCAGGGGAGAGCGACACGGAAGTTGTAGTTGATAAACTTGCTCGTGGGTACGCCGAAGATGTAGTCGAGCTCTTCGAGAGTACGCTGCTTTCTGATAGCTTTGTCAGTATATGTCCAAAAGTGTTTGGGAATGGCGACTCACGTTTCCGGCAGCCAGAGAAAGATCATGCAGAATGCGACCATGTTCAGACCGGCGTAGAAGCAAATGGCTCCCGTCGGTCCCATGGCAGATAGCATAAGTGGGAAGGTGATGGACAGTACGGCCGCCCAGAAGAGACATGTAGCGACTGCCCAACCCTATCCAAAGATTAGCAAGAGCATTATACGAGAACGATTCAATGCACGTACCATTCCAACCTCGCGATGAGTAAGAGGGAAGCATTCAGCACTGTACGTGAAAGGCACCGGGCCTTCTCCTGGAGAATAGAATGCGGCAAAGATGTAAATGAATAAGGCGATCAAACCCAGATGGGCGGGATTGCTTCTGGGAATGAGAAAGCACAGTCCAGTAGCGAGCAAAGACCAGGCCATCTGCGGGAAGGTGAAGAGGAGCAGGCTCCTTCGACCGAATGTGTCAATGGTCCAGATGGCAGGCCAGGCAAATACGAAGTTGACAAGACCGAAGCCAAAAGAGGCAATGAGCGCTTCTCTTTCAGTAGCATTTGCCTGTCTGAAGATGGTGCTTGAGTAGAAAGCGATGATGTTGACTGTACGTGGTCAGCGCAAATTCTCAGTAAAGGCTCGCGTGACAATGCCTACTTCCGCACATTTGCTGTGCTATCATAACGACAAAAGAAGCCAGGGTAGCCCTGCGCACTCGAGGGATGGTGAACAGCTCCGTACACCGTTTGAAGTAATTCGATCTGCCAATGATCTGCGCCTCGACTTGGAGCTGGGCATGGATGTAGTAGAGATCGCGAGCTGCCTGCACGGGGCTGAAGCGCAAGCGCACCAGTGATTGCCAGGCCTTACGGTAGCGATTCTTCTTGATCAACCATCTGGGTGACTAGTCTTGCATCAGCACTCGTTCGATTCGTCATGGAATAGAACAAACCTCGGGGCAGAAGTAGATGCCAATTGTCAAAGGCTGCAGTCGTCAGTACCGATTTAGACTGAATGAATAACAATCTACTTACAACTGCTGGAATGAAGGCTGATCCAATTTGTAGGCGCCATGCAATCACGGGCACTTGATATACCGCCAAGTTGGCACAGTAGCCCATGAAGATACCGAAGGCAGTCCACATTTGCCTAGATTCATTAGCCCAATTCCTTGTCAGCTAGAATGAACAGTTCACTTACCAGCTCATGACCAAAGCACCACGAATCTGGGCTGGAGAATTCTCAGCAGCAAATATGGGAACTGTTGAACCTTTCAATCCCATGCCAATGCCCCTACAACACTATTAGTTCCCGCAAGTTAATCGCCAGAGCTAGTCTTACATCAGGATGCGGGTAATGAGTAACTGCTCCCAGGTCTGGGTCAAAGCACCGCCGATCGGGGTGAGCACACAGAAGATAGCAGAGATGAAAATAGTGCCGCGGCGTCCAAAGTAGTAGTTGCAGGGGTCGCTGATCCAGCATCCGATGAAGGCACTTCCAATATATGGTCCAGCATTGACGAGGCCAACAAGCAGATTGTGTGTCCACCGGTTGGGGCTGCCTTCTGTATCTCCTTCGCCTATACCGAACTCAACAGGGAAAGACAGGTTCGCTCCGTTGGATCCAGTCTGGTCCCTACTCAAAGTCAACGAGACCCAATCGTAAAAGGTATTCTGGTCTACTTACCAGCCTTGCACAGCAGCGCCGATGGAGCATACAATGATTGTGACGTATAGTTGGAGCGGATGCTTCCACTTGTGCTCCTTCTCGAAACGAAGGTGCTGTCTATCCTCTTCAACAAGCATTTCAATATTGTCAAAGCCATTGGGGCTCTGGGCGACCAAAGCGCCCTTCTTGAGGTGCTCAATGATATCTTCTAGGTCGTGTTCGCGTGCGAAATCCTCAACATCGCGCATCAACGTTTCATGGGGAACGCCGACTAGAGGGTTCGAAACTCTACAACCGTCGTTAGAATGAGCATTCCAATCTGAGGCTATCAACGTACTTGGCATCGAGGTTCTTGTTCAGATTGACACTAGCCACTGATGAACGACGAGCTTGATTAATGTCATTATTGTGGTGTGCAGCGTTGGTGTTGCCTTCCGTCTTGCCAATGCTTGCGTCTGCCATAGTTCGAAATTGCGAGCCTTAGGCTCACGCAAGGCTTACAATAATGTGAGGAGATATGGACGTGCCACGAGTGACCATGATTGCTGGTAACGCCGTCAACTAAATACTTGCAGTGATCTGCTGTATAGTGTGCACTAGGAGACACACCTGCGCCCGTCAGCCTGGTCTGTCCTTCATACCTGTTACAGGGCCAGTAGTCCCGCGAGCATCTTTTCCATCGAGTCTAACGGCGACGCCGATATCAAGCCAAGAGACAGCATCAGCGACGCGCTTGGTTGCGCGCTAAATGTGAATCGGCGCAAGAAATTTCTCATTGTACACACACCTGAGCGGCCAAGAGGGCTCGTCGTCTTGTGCCAAGGCTGCGTGTTGAGTTGACAAGAGTCGGCCTAGGCATTGATGGTTGGACCATATCGCATCAAAACATTCACCACTCATCGCATTTGCTTTGATCATTATTGATGTTGAACGCGTTCGCAAGGTGCGTGTTCTTCCGCTCTTCCAACTGTTTTGACATCCTGCTCCCTCAAACTTGCCCGCGTGGAGAATCGAGCTGAGCGCGGCACGCTCGAGGAGGATTGATGAAGCAAGGGAGTGGTGGAGATGGCCAAGGCAAGGCGTGCGGGGGTGGAGGTTAGATTTTCGGGCCATCGCGCATCTAGCGCCGCCCGAGTTCCCCCATCTTTGCGCCAGCCATCAATGGTGTGTCAAAGCCTCAAATTGGCCTCATCGATTCGAGAATTGAGTCCTAGGGCATTTGCACAAGGCAATGTAAAGAGAAAGATGGTCACTGCACAAGGCTGGTAAACAAAGGCGGTGCCCGCATTGCACTCCCTGAACTTGCGCGGGGGTTACTGCATCTGGTATGGTCACCGCTCTAGCACTCCGACGGGCAAATGCCATGCGGCGTTATCCTACGTGCCAAGCGGTTGGTCTTGCAGTTTCCGTTCGGAGGCGCGTTACAACGCTTCGTAAAGGACTTCAGAAGCTTCTGCATTTCGCGGGTATTCGGACGAGTGTCAGCTTCGCGGATATTCGGACGAGTGCTTGTGTTTCGGTCGACCGAGATTTATAAAGACCTGACTGCATCACGTGCAGAGGCGTAGCTATGTCAACGCCGTTCGTTATTGACGGTCTTCTTGCAGTATTTAGTCGCATGAGAATCCACATATTTCTACCACCAGATCACGTGTTTCCGTTGGTTCTAAGCATACAGACGTGAGGAGTTCCTGGTGTCGATTGCGTCGATTGCCTTGTCCCCCGGAACAATGATTGAGTCTGCGAGGCTCGAGCAGCTTCCCATCTAGTGGATGACGGGGATCACCACGTCAGCGTCGTCCAAAGGGCGTGACTTGAGATTTTCGAAAGGCTCAAAATGTCAACATTTCGATATGTACACAGTACGCCTTACCACTTATCTTGACCGGTTCCTGGCCTGTCTCATCCGCATCGTACTCCCGGCGACATCCATCAGATCAAAACACACAGACGGACTCGTGAAAGATGATTGTGGCTGTGCATCACCGGATCTGACATGCGCGCCCTCATCTCACAGACCTACATGTGGTTTTGCATGAAAAGTGGGTCTATCATTGTTGGCTCCATGACCAAGTAGCGAGCCTTAGTCCACGAGCTTGGGTTCGGGTGTTTTGTTTGTAGAACGAATACGAAAGTCGTGTAGACTCGCGTCGGGAACTACAGGCTTACACCAGTGGCTTGGTCCCACTACAGGAAGGTCTCTCGTTTCAGGGTACGACAGGTACGAACATCCATCGTTGCCCGCTCAGCAAGCTGGCAATCGGACCACGTCCTCTGCTCCGTGTTGTCGCACAGGACTCAGGGTCGCTTTCGACATGCGTTTCTTGCTGCCTGAAACAGGGCACCCGGCACAACGTCGTTCTGTATGTCCCGATACGTACGCTAGCACCAGTGTTTGTCCAACCACAACCCAGCCCTAACCACTATCTCGGGTCCTGCCATGCTAACGTTCTTGCAGCTGCCACGTGTAGGACGATTCAACTGCCAAATTTTGCGCTAAAACCTTCAAGTCCAGTCAAAGAGAAATGTGCTGTATCGCAGCAAGTGCATTGGTCGTCCAACACTTGCCCGAGACCTCACTGGATCACTTTCAAGCAGGAAACCTGCTGCGCCCTCAGCGTTGTTCGAGAGGGGAAGTTGGTTCGGCTTAGGCATCAAACAGGGTAAGATCCGGATCAGCAGCATGATTCGCCCGTGGAGAACAACAAGAAACACGCTAGAAGACGGGAAATGAACTTCTGCGTTTTGAGCTTCCTCTTTGCCGTGATCATAATGTGTGTCGACTGCGGCACAACTAGCAAGATCAGACACGGTGATGGAGACCGGGTTGTAGCGGCGTCGCATGCCGGTTGTGTTGTTTGATCAGGTTGGACAGCCAAGCATAGCAAGCGTACTTGCGCCCTGACTAGCGTTTCTGAGTGCCTGCTGCACATTACACAGTGGCGTCTATGTGCGCTCGGTTTAGATGGAAGAGATGAGAACCCCGCCAGAGAATCTACGTGGCCGTCATCATATTTCCGCCAAGCTGGACCTACCATCTCCTTGGGAGTACTGCTTTCAAGGTGTCAGTACTTTGCTCGTGTTAACCCCGCGTTGCGCGAGCCGTGAGCTTCTGTCAGACTTGCCTGACATGTGGCGGAGAAAGGCAAACGGACTTCGCTTCACTGTCGTATTCACCAGCAAGATCTAGAGTGGTAGCGAGCGGACCGGACCTGTGCGCAACGCTCGCGGGAGACTATATAAAGGCCCTAGTATAGATTGAAGGTTGCGTTGTTGCTTCGCAATTCTGACCTGCCAGTTGCATCATCACCTGCACGCAGTCGACTTGACCTTCGCCCTCCCCTTCTCAGTCGCTCCTTCATTGTTCACGTCAGACCTACCACTGTTGGCCAGCGATTTGCTTCTCTATTCGACCTTCCGTTTTTACGACCTTTCTGACTTTATAATCCCATACACGACCTGCAATCATGAAGGAATGCCCAACCTGTCGCGGCCTCGGCACGGTCAAGTGCGATGAATGCAACGGCACGGGCAAGAACTGCACAGGATGCAAACGAGACGGGACACTGAAGTGTCATATCTGCGAGGGATCAGGCGCGATTCACACCAACTGAAGCCGAATATTTCCAATTTCAGGCGAGCGTGCGTGTTGCGTCTACACCATGCGACCTTGGGGATACGAGCGGCTCATACAGGGGTCTATAGGTATGATGCCAACACAGCCACCCAGCATCTTCCCTCGAGATCCAAGGTTTTGTTTGGTGCATAGAGGTCACCTCTTGAGGATTGGACGGGCTGGTTATTGCGCGCTCAACAGCAAATTACCGCACAGTCAACGCTGACACGACTCAGAGTCATTTCGCCTTGCCAAAAGCCGCAGCCAAGCCTATCGGTGCGCAGGCGCACCGCAGGTGCACAGTCGTCTAGGAGGTTGCACTGGCAGAATTGATGCTGTGCATGCGATTCAGTTTGCTCTCTTGCGCAATACCCAATTTCCGAGATATCCGAATTTTGATTGGCGTGAGGAAAGGTTTTGGAGTGCATGATCGACTGGCTTTGGCCTGGTTTTGCTTTTGTTGGAAATGAGTTTTGGAGAGAGTCGGGGTTTTGAGTGTAAGACTGAATAGTGGAGATGGCCTGGTGGCTTGCAAGGTGTGGCGCAAGACTCCAGGTGGACAAGCTCTCAATCTACTTGAAACAATAAACAACTAACGTGGTCCACCACCGAGCGAATCACCCCACCGAGCGAATCACTAAATGCAACAATATATCTTTGAACGTGAATAACTCAACACAACAACAAGATATAATAGTGCGCAATAGCTTAAATTAATTGCCTATCTCTACTGTATCTTTCTTGCATGTACGCTTGTTGTGTCCTGTGTTGCCACACCTCCTGCAGCGCGGAATACCCCTGCTGCTAGCACCTGCCTGCACCCTCTCCTCACGCCTCTCTGCCTCAAGTCGAACCTCAGCATCCCCCTGGGTAACTATTACCTCTACCTCTGCCTGTG